TAGGCGAAAAGCCAAAACTGAAGGATCCAGAATGGCTCCCCTTGATTAGCATCTAAGGGTTTCTCACAGAAAATAGAGCAGTCTCTATATACGTGCCCTAGAACATGTGGGGCTAAGGCTACCTTTTTCTGTAAAACAAAGGCTTTGGCAAGAGGGGCAAATTCAGGCATAATTCTCTGAGAGGAAGTGCAAAAAAGGAATTTGCAAAGCCAATACAATAAGAAAGAAAAGAATTCCCTATCAGTCACAGGCCCTCTCTTTTATTCTCAGCCCTAGCGAAATCACTATAAGATGAGTTAAGGGAGGGGAGAGAGAAAGGGACTGCTAAATCAGGATAATCTGGTCCAAAAGGGGTGCCAATGGGAGATAGTCCCAGTAAATGGCAAATATCAAGAACAGTAGGGGCCATCATCCTACATCTAAATTGGAAAAAGTTAAAGACAGGATTCCAAAAACATAGGGCAGCAGGAACAAGGAAAGGGTCCTCTGAAATAGTTACCCTAGATAGTCTGAGAGCATCGAGAAGGCAGAGTTCTTGAAGGTCCAGGGTCCTAGCAGGAATAACCCGATCATACCATTCTTGCCACTCTGGTCTCACCGTGGGCCAGCATCGGTGGGGGCGATTTATCCTCCAGTTCCTCCAGTCAAGACCACCTTCATAGAGAAGACATTGGTTTTCCAGTCGGGGATACAGGGCTGGGAGCTCAGTAAGGACCTCTTTGAATATGGGTCCGAGCACGTAGTCTAACTGCACATGGTGACGAGGGACAAAGATGCGTCCATCAATAGCGCTTTTCTCCCCAGCTTTGTACTTTTTACATTCTGCATCAATAATCCTCTTCAGGGCCACAGATGGGCTCGCACGCTCTACGACTGATACTGAAGGAGAAGCCATTGACGGTATGCTTTTCTTGACACTGAAACCGGGAAAGGAAGTAGAGAGAAGCCGACGATCGGTAATAAGAGTGGTTTGTGCGCTTAGAAGAGCAAGTGATTTCAGAACACGAAACAAAAGGGTTTTTAAAGCCCTCGTATTTGAAAATATATTACATGAGCTGTTAAGTATTAAAAGTACGAATACAAAAGCTTCCTTCAATATTGATGCTTTTGGAGGGAAAACAAAGCCCAGTTGTTAAGGCTAGCTTCGAAGTAAGATATTTTGCTTCGAAACCAAGTCAAAACGGCTTCGAAACAGAGAAGCCGGCTTCGAGGCAGGTTGCCATACCCAAAATATAAAAATACTCGAGTGTTTATTTCACTTAAAAGAGTTTAAAGACCTGTTTTTAGGTTTTTTAACAAAGGTAATGTCCTTCGAGGCAAAACTTGAGATTCTTTAAGGATGAGATTTGGTGTTTGAAACATCAAAAGCAGTAATGACAATGACTAGATGTTGACTATGGTCAAAACAGGCTTTAAGTGTAAGATTGCTAGATTCGAAGCACTGTTTCCAATTGAAAATCAGCCAAAACTTTATTCCACAAATTGGAAAGGTTTACAATTGGCTCATTTAGTGTTTCATTTAAAACAATTAAGTCCAGATTCAAAGGATGAAATTGTTCGAAGTTCGAAGCTTTGAGTTGACTTTTAAAACACAAGTAAAAACACAAGTGAAGACAGGGTCAAACAAAGACAAATGAAGAAGAATTTTGTTTATATTAAGATCAGAGCGATTACATCAGCTGACCCTATCTCGGTATGAACTCGAGCTCATAAAAATAAGGAATGGAATAAATAACAAGATCATGAAATTTAGCCCAACAATGATCAATGAACTTTTGTTCTTTCCTTATTCTATCTTCTAAATTTTCTAGCATTGGCTGCATAAGTTGATGTGCTCTCACTTCATAGTAGAGCTCTTCAGCCTTTATTTCGAAAGCCACCTCTCTTAATCCTTGTTCCAATTCATCAATGTCTAAGTCATCCCAATACGCAGAATCTTTATTCTTGAAATCATTGAATTCTTCAATAAAGTTCTCTGCTTCGTACTGAGCATGAATTCGAAGAGACGAAAGTTGGTCTAAAGATTGTGTGGTAGCCACAGAATTTCGATGCCAGTAAAGGAGCAATGGAAGTTGGTCCAGAAACATATGAAGTTCTGCCTGAGCAAGGGGATTAAGGACATGGCCCCTAGTCAGAATATCACAAGCCCATCGAAGGTTCTTGAGAGGGACTTCGTCCTCGAGTACATTAAAAGGCAAGTGAGAGAAGACTGCAAGCAGAAGTTGAGCCTGTTTCCGTTCAGCTGGGGTAGGAGGAGGTAGAGGTTTATAAGGTGGGAAGACATTCTCCATGGATAGGGCAATCTTCAATTTCTCTGTCCAGGAAAGAATTGATGGGGGAGAAGGTATGAATACTTCAATTTCGGGAGACAAAGAAGAAGGTGTGGACGCTTCTGTTTTCGGGGATGATACGGGAGCAGAAGGAATAAAGGCATTAATATAATCAAGCCAGTCGGAAGAACAGATCTTCGTCTTCTGGGCTAAGAATGATGGGTTATACCCTTGTGCTTCTTCTGGGCGGGGGGCAGCGTGCACTATCTTTGTAGGCATGGAGGATGTATACCATGCTACAAGAAGATTCTCCTCCAGACTACGTCGATGGTCAATGGGTACATAAGGATAAACAACTGAACTTTGAGTATAGGAAGGAAACTCTAAAGGGTCAGTGAACTCAACAAAATGATGGTTGATTCGCTCCTTCAAATCACAAGTCTCAGGTATTGACCAGCTTGTCCAGTCAGAACCCCCAGAAGAGGAAGAAGTTGCAGCTTTATCCCATACAGAAATTTGCGAAGAAGAGTTGCTCAAATCCATATTTGTAATTTTCTGAATCAAAGGTTTGAGAGCAGTTTGTTCGAACTGTAAAGGTAGGTTAGAGGGAAAAATTCTTATGTCTATGTTTGTAGCTTTCTGAATCGAAGGATTAAGAGCAATGTGTTCGTAATCCAAAGGTCGGTAATTTGAAAAGGCATCCATGACCTGAATATAGAAAGATGGGTAAAGGTGGCTAATAAATGCATGCTTTCGATGAGAAATAGCATCGACATATGACTCTTCGTATGCTTCATCACTGGAGGAAAGAATTAATTTGGCCATGAAATGTATCAGTCTGTTCGAATAATAAGACAGTGAAAATACTTAAAGGATCAAGACGAAAGTATTAATACAGATGGTGAGTGACAGTTGCATTTCTGGGAAGATGCAAAACCTATGCACGTTCTAAGACGTGGGAAAAAGGACCCTGATCCACTAATATCACCAAGTCTTGGGCATATTAGTGCGGGGGGTAATGTTGGCTACACATTTTGTGCTAGTCAGTGACAATTCGACGCGTGACAAAGTAAGGGTAATATGGGGAGACCAGGTAGGTCTTCGATTCTGATCATACACGTGGCAGTTAATATTGGTTGTTATAAGATCTGAGTAGTAGCGGATCAACAAAGAAATGTACGGTGACGTGGCTTTAACGGTTGCTCACATTCAAATTCGAATATAGGGGGGAAGCCTAACTGCAAGTGAAGGCGTAGTGGAACTACTTATAAGGTAGCATGATCAGCGATCACGGAGGAGCAGTTCGACGGTTTGAAGTACAATTCGATGGTTATCTTCAGAGAGTATAAATAGCAGGAAGGACTTCAGAAAAAGGGATGAAGAAAGATCTAAAGAAAATCAGTCTTACTTTACATATTCCAGTGTTATTTCCTGTCCTTTACATTTCTGTACTTTAAGTTCCTGCGCTGCACTTCATTCGTAGGAGTAGTTTTCGAGTATATTGCCGCTGTAATTTTCTACGGAACTAAGATCATTGTAAGTTTTTCATACTAATGAAATGCTTCAGTTTATTTAACTGTTCTTATGCTCAAGTTCTCTGAAGTCAAATTACCAGTAAGCCACCAGTAAAAGTCCTCTTTATTGAGGCTAAAAGAACCATAACACAATTGTCTGAATAATTGTTTGGCAATTACAATTCTGTAAGGACTGATTGATCCTTACTGGCACGCTCATAATTACAAAACTAACCTTCGAAAGCCAAAAAGCCAACAATTAACTATTTTGTAATTCATTTTGTGTTAAAAAGTTTGTTCCATTGATGAAGGATAGAAAGTTTGAAGAATCCAATTTGATGATAAGAAACCACATGCATACAAAAGATTTAGTCAATTTTTATTTGGGGGACTGGGGACCCCACTTTCCTTTTTCTTTATCTTTCCCACTCTATGTTATTTTGAAAAGGCCTTTTGGTGCTCATCTCTTGATAGGGATGACAATTTGAAATCGGCCCGACGGGACCTGACCCCCTAACTTTGGATGGGATAGTTTTCTCTCTAAAAAACCTTCACACGGGTCGGGGATGGTATTAAAAAATAAATTTTCGATCATTTTTGAGCCAGGGACGGTGATACCTTCTCCAGTCCCGGACCCGCCCGTCCCGTCCCCGTTCCCGTCCCCCGTTTGCCCCGGTATGAAATTACAGTTATACCCCTCTATCTCTCTCTCTCTCTCTCTCTATATATATATATATGTTTCCTTGTCTCAGGTATGAAAAACTCCTCTCTGGACTCAGTTTAGTCTCTCTCTCTCTCTCTCTCTCTCTCTAAAACCCTCTCCTCTCTCCAATGTCCCTACCTCCGATCTCACTCCCTCCCTCCGATCTCCATCACTGCCTCACGCCGATCTCCCTCCCTCCGATCTCCCTCCTTTCGACCTCACTGCCTCACCCCGATCTCCGTCACTGCCTCCCTCCGATCTGCGTCTGGGATGCCGATAGTCGTCCTCGACGCCGATTGTCCTCTCCGCAATGCCGATCCTCCTTCATCGTTCAAACAAATTTTTGTATGTGTATGTATATATATAGATTTTTTATTTTTATTTTTATTTTTTATGTGTATGTATGTATACAGATTTTGTATTATTGAAACAGATTTTTTTTTTTTTGAACGAAAATAGATTTGTACATGTATGGTGTTGTTGAAACAGATCTGTTAGTGTATGTATGTATACATGTATAATGATGATGCTGTTGTTGATGTTGTTGATGGTATTGTTGAACAGAACAGATTTGGGCCGGGAAATTTTCGGGGTCGGGGAATCCCGATCCCTGTTAGGGAACGGGGATGGGAACAGTGATAGGTTCCCCATCGGGGCCGGGGACAGGGAGATTTTCTCAATCGAGGACGGGGAAGGTAATCCTCGGCCCCGCCCCGCCCCGTTGCCATTCCTATCCCTTGGTTGAGATAAATGTTTCAGATTTATGTTAAAATTATATCAATTTTAAACACAGTTCATGTCAACTGTGTAGATATCATATGTAATAAAATAATATTATATGTACTAATTAATATATTAATTAGTGTGATGTGATATAATTTTAAAATTTTAAAATATTTATAATATAAGTAGAGTAAAATTTTATATTAGAATGCTCTAGGGCCACGTTTGTTTGACGGATTAGGTGATATAATTTTAAAAATTTTAAATATTTATAATATAAGTAGAGTAAAATTTTATATTAGAATGCTCTAGGGCCACGTTTGTTTGACGGATTAGATCGGATGAGATTGTTAGTGAAATGATTGTTAGTGAGGAGATTAAGTAAAAGTGTTTGTTTTAATAATAATGTGGGAGTAGTAATGAGATTGTTAAATTATTTTTATATAAAATAAATAAATAAATTATTTCTATATTAAAAAAAATTAAAACAAATATTAAAACAACCAGGTAGACGTGGTAAAAAAAAATAAAATTAAAAAAATAAAATTTTTATATAGAATAGACTCAATCCGCTCACTATTTTTATAATTCCATCCAAAATCCAACCAAGCTAATCTCTCTATGTGAGAGTATTCATAGTCTTATGAAACTACTAATCCCCTTCTATTTTTGTCAACCAAATATGAGTTATGTAAGACTTACATAATTAATAATTTAATCCTCCTACCTATAAAGCCAAACAAACACGAACTAGAACACTTCCATGTGTTAATCTAAATAGTTAACACGCATCATTGATAATTGAGATTTTTATTACTTTAAGACTTTTCTCTCTTTATGGCCTTTTCATTTTCTCTTTGTTAAAAAAGTATTATAACTCCCTCCATCCATGTTTTGCTTTGGATCTCAAATTTTTTATTTCTTTTTAATTTCTACATATATTTTCTCCGTGTAGTCTTTTTGTTAAAAAACATTGCAATTTCTCTTTAAAATTTACCCAGTTTTACTACGACTTTTTGCTCCAAAAAATTAATCTTTTCATTATTTTATAAACCATTTTCCTATTATCATTATTTTCATGTGTTTGAGATTGTAATTATATGTAAATTTTGACTAATCAATACTAGTTATTTCAACTTGATCAAATTATTTAACAGTTGATTATGAATAGATGCTATAAATTTAGAACTTTAATAATCCTTTAAACTTTTAAAATATGTAAAATACAACAACTTTTGTATTAAGTTGGGCTAATATTTTGTTATTTTTGGTTAACCTTATGAGTTTTGTTATAGTTAATGCAACATGTATGCATTACTCCCACCCAATCATGAGTCACTAACTGTGTTTGGTTGGGGGATTTGGGGAGGGATTTGGAAAGGAAAAGGGAAAATGTATGTGAAACTAGGTGAATGTAGGTACATTTAATTTACATTTCACCTAACTTTTTCCTTTCCCTTTCCAAATCCCTCCTCAAATCCTCTAACCAAAAACAGTGTAAATGTCATAAGGGGAAGATATTTCTAACAAAGTTGCAGTGATAAATTTAATTTACATGGATAGTTCATAATAGTCATGCTGTGGTGTGTATAGAATTGTTATTTTTATTTTTTTATTCAACATGGAAAATTGATTTTGGATTTTAAGGGGCACAATTTGATTGTGAAACTTATATTATAGTACTATAGAAAAGGTAACATATTAACAAATGTGATATCGCTGATTATCCATTATTTTATTATGTTGAAATTTCAAGTATTTTTTTATAGCCATTATCATTTGTTTAAATGCTTCATACAAAGATATATATATATATATATATATAAAGACTTTATACACCAAAAAATGTAAAATAAAAATTTAATCTAAACATTTGAAATAGTTCGTTTATTTGAAAAAAAATATTATAATGATTACAAATAAGATAAAATATCAAATTTAATTTGCAAAATTAATTTTAATCACTTTAGAAAATTAAACACAACCCATGTTTGGGTAAGAAAAAAAAATTGATTATAATATTTTTTTTTCAAATAAACGAACTAAAAATGAAGTAAAATGTCAAAGTGTCAAAAAAAATCTACTCACAAAATGGAACGTTATGGTTATATAGAAAATTAAAATTGATTTACTTTTTTTGGGTAATTAAAATTGATTTACTTACTAATATAATATTCAAATTTACTTTAATAATAATTTTAACTAACTTACTAAAAATGATATGTTAAAGCTAATTTTACATAAGATCAAGATTTAAACACAACCCGTGCATAGTACGAGTAGAAAACTAGTGTGTATGATAATTTTATGATCAAATTTTCATAATCGGATTGAGAGGACTGCATAGTCTAAGGCACACTAATTTCAAATGAATTTCAATTAAATTGGTCTCCAGTAGTTATGTCTTTATAGTGCATATAATTGAGCTAGGTAGTAAGTTATTTAAACTTAATTTGAAAACTTAATAAGTTAAAAAATGTGTCAAACTTTAATTTATTTACATATTAAAATAAAATTTTAACAAATCAAATTACAAATGAAACTCAAATAGCTTGATTCATTTTAGAGTTTCTATCGAAAACCCTAACGCCATTACAAGGGTGTTTGAACTTCCTAACTCTTTGATGAAAACATGAAGAATTAAGGTGTAATACGCCACTATTTTTATATTACCTCTATATATAATATTTATATATGTATTTTGTATGTAAAATGATGACAAAAATATATAGATGCTCCTTGGACATTAGGGCTGCTCAAAAATTCGTTCAAATTGGTAATTCGGATTGAACTAGACTGAATCCTGCGGTTTGGTTCGCTTCCATTAAGAATTGGTTCGGTTTTGGATTAAGAAATATGATAATCGTAAAAACGGTTCGGTTAATGGATTTTATAAAAAAATCGCGGTTCGAACCGAACCGAACCGAACCGAATTTAAAAAAATATATATATATAATATAATATAATATAATATCAAGTTTTATTTTTATTAATTGATTTTTATAATTTTAATGATATTAGGATGGTATAGATATGTAATATTAAGTAATGCCTTAATGGCATGTTTGATTGAAAGGATTAGAACATGAGATTGGGATTATTAATCCGTGGGCCCAATTATCCCATGTTTGTTTTGACATTTTGTTTTAGGATTATTAATCCAATGGATAATTAATCCAACAAATTTGTAAGATTATTAGTAATGGGGTAAGGGTGGGATTGTGAATACCACACTAATTTGATAGGATTATTAATACCTTACTATTAGTCTTGTGGAATCAAACATGGCCTAATATTATTAGTTTTTATCATGAGTTAAATGTAATTAGTTTGAGTAATTATTTTGCTAATATTAACAATTTATTCTTGTAAATAGAAATTTTAGGAACCGTAAACCAAATTGAAATTGAACCGTTTTTTCGGTTTGGTTCTGGTTCGGTTTTACAAGTGTAACGATCTGATATGGTTTTCAAAATTACAGAATCGTTAGGATCGATTTAATTCTTGAATTTTTTCAGAACCCAACCAATTCGGACCGTGTACACCCTAGACATACTCACATGCAGCAGAATATCTCAGTCATAAATTGTCACAAGGCAATTTGTCTCTGTCAGGCTCTCATTTGTGGCCTAACTTTCCCCAAATAATAATAATAATAATAATAATAACAGCTTATACATTTTTACGATTTCAAATCAATTAACATAACTCTCGGTTAGGTGTATATGAGTCTTTCAAATATATTTTTTTGTTAGTTGATTTTTAAGGAGGAATTTTACCTAAAAAGTTTGTAGCATTTAGTATCAGAATCAGTTAATATGTCGAATATGAAATCGGATTGGTACAGTTGTGCAATTCAAACTCCAGAGGAGACAGCTTAGAGCATTTCCAATGCACTAGGCATATAATACTTGTTAGTTAAAATGCCTAGTGTGATTCATTTTTTTCAATTCCAATGCACTAGGCATATGATTAGGCATTTTGGCTCAACTCATATTCACTAGCTATATGTAGCTAGCCTTCAACGCTAGGCAAAATGTATTCAATCATTAAGATCATTTCCCTCCATCTTTGTTGTTGACGTGGCATTCTATAAAATTAATAGTATTTGGATAAATAGCTAAAATAAAGAGCATGGTTGGAGTAAAAATATAAAATAGTTGATAGGCAAAATAAAATATATACTTTATAGTAATATTTAGATAGGTAAAATGCCTACTACCGTTGGAGATGCTCTTATGAATTGAATTAAGATATTTAGAACGGTATTAGATATTGATAATTCAGTGAAACGGATAAAAGTTATTACTAATACATAATATATACCACCACAACATATTAGTTTTAAGAATGTAATTAAACATATAAAATTATTTTTTTACAAAAATTTATTTTTTGCTAAAATAAATAAGGTGTAAAATTTATTTGAAAAAAATTATAAATAAACGAGATAGTCTTAAAATAATTGCATTATAAGTAAAAAAAAAAAAGAGAAAAGAATACAAGTCTACTACATATAAAAAAAATTACACCAAACATTAAAAAAAAAAAATTACAATATTTATATCAAACTTATATCACTATAAAAATAAAATATTTATTCACCACTTCACTTGAACTAATTTTTCTAATTTATTTCGGCTGGTTGACCTATTCTTCATTACCTGGCACCATCCATTATAGGAAGGAAAGAGCTCAAATTCTCTCTTTACCCATGTGCCATGATGGTCCATGTGAAAAGAGCCTAACCCAATAAATATGCATCAATGTATGACCCACGCACAAAACCCCAACCCAAACACCAGAATTTTTCATACTAGATTCTCCCCTCCAAACACCACAATTTTTTATACTAGATTCTCCAAAACAATGCATGTTTTTTAGCCAACAAGATCTCACTAGGACATTAGTCTTTGTTTGCCAAAAAAAAAAACCACCCCCCTCAAGCCATGGTCTATTATTTTATTTTATCATATTATAAAATGACAAAGACATTCTTGGCTTAAAAACATGACATTTCTCCTTCTGATAAATGTTATTATTGGGATCAACATAATTTATAAATAATTATATTGTATGGTAATGTAATTTCCAAGGTTGGCTTTGAGTTAGAGTAAAAGTTTTTACCATGTATTATACATGAAAGTAGTCAGCTAAGATTGAATAATTTTTGAAATTTAAAATGACTCGATATGAACATAATCAATAACACGACACGATTCTCATCTTTATCCTAGTGAGTGAGACACTTCCTTCTGAATAATACCTAGTAGCTCGGAAATTATTAGCCCGAATCGGCTCGAAACCCAAAACGATGGCATTTTGGGTTTTTCCTTTTTTCTTTTTTTCCCCCTTTTTTTGCTTTTGAATACAGACGAGACAGAGAAGAGAGAAGAGAGAAGAGGGAAGAGAAGAGAAGAGAAGGAGAAGAGAGAAGGAGGAAGAAGAGAAGAAGACGGTGATGGCGGTGATCGCCGGTGGGTATCGCCGATCGCCACTTTCTTTGTTTTCTCTACTTTTTTTTTTTTTCTTTTTTTTTCTAGTTGATCTGAATCTGAAGATGAATGAAAAAAAAATATATATATATATATATATATATATTTGTGCGCTTTGATGATGATGTGTTGATGATGCATGTTGATGAAGATGTTGTTGTTGTTTGATGATGATGCATTGATGAAGATGATGTGGATTTTTTTTTTTTTTTCTTGTGGATCTGGATCTGAAGATGAAAGGGAAAAAAAAAAAATTGTTGGCTGATAATGATGTGTTGATGATGATGTTTGATGAAGATCCATCTTCTTTCTTCTTCTTTCTTCTTCTTTTCTTTTCTTCTTCTTCTTCTTCTTCTTCTTTTTCTTCAGAAAAACGAGAAAGAAAAAAAAAAAAAAAAAGAAGGAAAAACCCAAAACGACGTCGTTTTTGGGTTTTGAGCCAATTTGAGCTAATTTTTTTGAAGCTACCAAACGGACTGCTTCCTTATCAGATGTTATGTTTGGATTCAAATCTTACTCCTGTGTACTTTCCATTCCCCTATTCCCTTCAATAAAAATAAAATAAAAAATTTGTACTAATATTCATTAATATGGCAACCTCACAGAACAGGTGTCGCTTCAGGACCTAGTTTTTGTTACAATTTTGAATTGGGCCGAGCTTTGGGCTTAGGTCCATACAGTTTTAAATTGGGGCCCAGGTTGAATTTTTTTAGCCCAAAGCATAGATTCATCCAACGACGTCGTTCCATTCACCTTGCATTGTACATTTTGTTAGGTGTACATGAGTGAGAGTACTAATTAGTGCTACAATTAATAATGTGATAGTAAACTTTACCGTACATGATTTGATATTTTAACCTTAATATATATATATAATATATATATTTTTATTGAGTGTCACCTTATTAATAATTTTTTTTTTTAGAGCTTTAGATAATCGTCGTCGCATTGACTTTTGGCCTCTATGCAAACAGCAAAAGAATTTTCCGGGAAAATTGATAAGAAAATTCAAAAAAATATTGCGAGGCAGTTTTTTGAGGATAGAAACAAACAAACAAACAAACAATCAAATCAGATCAGAGAGTCTTCATGTGTAGATAGATAGAGGCGATGATGGAGGAGGAGAGAGAGAAGGCGGTGGTGGTGGTTGGTTTTGATAGAGAACGCCACAAACTCTACGGCGGCGGAGGTCGATCCACGCCTCCTCAAGGCCATCAAATACGTCGTCCGAAACTCCGATTCCGAGCTCCGCCTCGCCGCCCAAACCCTAATGAATCTCATGAAAACGAGATCACTCTCAGGTATATATATATATATGTCTATATATGCTGTGTTGTTTTTTTTGATTTCATTGTGTTTTTTGGGTTAATTCTCATGCAATTTAAAACACAATATGAATAAATCTAGGGTTCTGTTTCGCGCATGGCAAGAAATTTTTTTTTTTCTTTTCCAAGATTGGATTCGAAAGGTTTAATTGGGTGGATTTTGTGGAGACTACATAAGGTGTGAATTGTGACCTAGCTCTCTTGTTTACTGTTTTGGTGCTTGAAATTGAGTTTTGGGTTTGTGGGTGGGTATACTGGTTTGATTAGATGTCAGTTTGTATTGGGAAAATAAGCATTTAAATTCATAGCACAAAGTGGGAAATAGTCACAAATATTTTTTTGCGCAATACTTTGATGCACAAATTCTTTTTGTGCACGTATATATTTATACTAGTGGTTGGTGCAAATGTGATGCATTTGCAATTTATACATCTAAATTTTGGGCAGTGTAATGAATGAGATTGAATTAGCAGTTACAGGATTGTGGAGTTTTAGCGGTTACCAATTTTGGGATTTTGGATAGAAAAAAAAGTGTGACAAAGATTTTGAATAGTGTGCTTATATAATTGGAATAGAAGAATAGATATTTGAGATCATGAAAGGTAGTGCTATAGGAATTGGGAGTGTCTAATTGGAGGGTAATGGTTTAATGAAATGGACTCTAGTGAGGGAAAAAAACTAATCTGGGGTTTTGCATTTCGGAAAATATGCCTAATGGAGGTCAAAATATTTATAATTGAAGGTTATGGTTTAATGGTGGTGTGATATGATTTTCCAATAGAAGCTGGATATGATATTTAATTTGAAATGTCTTCTGTAGGTTAGATATCTTGCGCTTCTCATAATAGATGAACTAATTCATGCGGTCGAAACTGTTTAGAACCCTTCTTGTTGAAACTTGGATCAGTTATTGACTCTAAGTGTGGGATTCCAGAAGAAACTTGCCGCTTCCTGCTCCTCCAGCTGTTGCATCGGTTTTTGCGTTCGAAAGGCGATTGAATTCTTAGAGAAATGGAATGCTTCTTATGGGATGTATTACAGACAGCTTAGGTTAGGGTTTGACTACCTAAAAAACACCCTTCGTTTTCAATTCCCAAACTTACAAGCTAATGGGGTTCGGATTTCAGCAGGAGAGAAGGGAGAGGGAGATGAGGACAAAAGAGATTTTACTGAACAAGTTTGAAACGCTGAAGGAAAATTTTCCTTCAATCAAGGATGAATTACAGTCAACACTTGATGAAATTGGGGAATGTTTAGAAATTGTAACTGCAACAAATGAAAATGTGCCAATGGATCTTTTAGATGATGAAGAAATGGAAGAGTTTCGTAGTTCTGAACTTCGACAGATACGTCTTGATTCATTGAAAGAAGCAGAGAAAGTTCAAGAAACAGGTGACAATAAAGTGGTTTTCGATGTGTTGAGGGAGCTTTACAAGCTCCTGGTGACGAAGCATTTGGTTTCAGTGCAAGAGTGGATCTCAGTTCTTGTAAGGGTTGAAGTGGCAGACAACAGATTCAGGGACTCCGCGTTGAAAGAGTTCATTGATATTCGAAATCATCTCCGGTCAGTGAAGAAGAAATGTGAAGAAGCAGGTTGTTCTCTTCCCGACAGCAAAAATCACGAGGAAGAAGATATTTGGGAAGAGGGTACTATTGAATCATTTGAGAACTGGAATTCTGCCACTCTTGATAAGCAAAGCGATGATTCTAATATTGCCTCGACTTCCACTGAGGTAAAAAAGAAAGCTTCCAAGAACAGTAATAAAAAAGAAGATAGCAATGAGAAGATGGATTGTGAAGGCAGTGGAACTGAATCGAACCCCCAGAGGAGTAAGTTTCTGGCTGAAGCTCCAGTGATGAAGTGGGGTTCGTTCTTGGATAATTGGGATAAAAAAAGGGATGTTTTGGCCAACCAAAGGGGTTTGGAGCTTGAAAATCATTGGGGTCGGGTAGACTACGATGCAGTTATTCCAGCTGCGAAAATCGCAGAATTGAATGTTCAAGCAACGGTTTATGAAGAAGACCCTGTTGAAATCCAACCATGTCGCGTTCGTTTGAGTAAAGGGGGCCTTTGTCAGAGAAGAGATTTGAGGGTTTGCCCATTTCACGGGCCTATAATACCGCGAGACGATGAGGGAAAGCCAATCAATCAAACCTCTTTAACAGAGGAGATAACTCCTGATTTCGGGAGTAATTTGGTGGAGCAATTGGCAAAACAGGCAGTGAAGAATATTCGGGATAGAGATATAGAGGAAGTAAAGAAGAGAGAACATGATAAAAAGGCATTGAAGCGAGCAAAGCTTGCAAAAGTTCGAGAACACAATGATGCTGTCTTACGGGAACTTGCTATGGCTTCAACTTCAAGATCTTCAGCTGTTGGAGAAGATATAGAGACAACCAATGGGGAGAGGTCTTCAGCCAGAAACAAGAAGCAAACTCTTGCGTCGATGTTGAAAAAGAAAGTAACAGCTAAAGATAGATTAGCTCAAAGGTTGTTGAACACCGGTGCAAGAGATGCAACGACAAGACAACTCACTCTGGGAGAGGATGCAAAATACAGAGAAGCCTTCCCAAATCAGTGGTAGATGTGAAATTTCTCAGTTACACGTTTCTGATAACTCGTTCGGTTCATCCTGTAAGTCCCATAACACTTCCTCTTAATCATCCTGTAAGTCCCATAACACTTCGTCTTAATCACTTGATCCATTTGTTGTAATATCGGCTTTGGGGATAGTGAATGACACCAAGGGAGCGGTTTTTTTGGCTAGTTTTGTATTATACATGAGTGTTTTTTTTTTCTTTTTGTTCCTCTCCAATTTCTTTGCAGCAGATTGTATCTATTGCAGATAGAGAATTATTTTATTTTATTTTATTTATATTTTTAAGTTATGAGAAGCTGTGAATTTTCATTGTTTATGTTACCTCTGAAATACGGTTGCTTACATTAATTATTGCTTAAACTCGGTGTTTGCCTATGAAGTGCGGACATAGACACATGACACGATACGAACATGTTAACACGGAATTTTTTTTAAAAAATGTAGGATACAATATGTGAGAATATGCACAAAAATATATAGTTTTATATAGTTATTATACAACATATATATGTTATATATATGAATATTTAATTTAAAAATAATAATTTTAAAGTCAAAAGAAGAGAATATGTATAAATTTATGTTTTTTTTTTCATTGGATTTCAAGTTATTTTATTTGGATTTTTAATGTGTTTTTTTGTGTGTCTAAGCAATACCCACGTGGCCTTCAAGTGTCTAAAATGTGTAATTTTTTGAAAAAATAGTAGGACATATTTGGACTTGTGTTCGTTGTGTTGGGAAATGTCCGATGAATGTCATGTTGAATCAGTATTGGACACGGCATTTTACTTTTTTAGAAATGTCTAGCTTTTTAATTTTTTTATGAATTGAAAAGCATGATTTGATCAAATTTTTTATGCTGATTTTGTTTAAGGCTGTTTAGACCCAGGTATATATCTGTGCTCATTGATTGTAATAACCTTGTTTGGTTCTCGTTTCAGGCTATGATGAATGTGACCATTCTCAAACCTGCACTTTAATGTAGAAGGTGAAATGTTTGGTCTCAACAGACACTAACCTGTTCTCAACAAACACAAACCTGTTCTTTATTTAATAAATATAAATCTGATGGTCGGTGGTGGTGAAGTGGTTGTGATGTAGCTGACTTTCTCAACAAAATATTTTCTTTATGGTTTGTTTGGTAGCAGGAACAACAAAATTCCCTTTTTTTTTCTTTTTTTTTTTTCCCTTCTACTGTTCGTTTCATTAGAGTGAAAAATATGGCAAAAAATGAACGTGATGGTTTTCTTTATGGTTTGTTTGGTAGCAAGAAGTAAATTCCCTTTTCATTTTATTTCTTTTTGTTCCTTATAGTGTCTGTTTGATTGGATTGAAAAATATGATAAAAAATCAAAACGATGAAAAATTCATGATTTTCTCTACTTTCATTTCATTCTAACCAAACCAAACCCTAAGTTGGTAGGAAGAACAAAACTCATGATCTTTTTCATCATCTTTGTGGCCATCATGATCAATAAGTTTGATCAATCTTTTGATTGGTTAGAGCACAAAATAGATGGAACATAGGTAACATCCTTTCAAAGCCAACTAAAGTAGTGAATATAATGCTTTTAGAATCCTATCTGCAACACTAGTGGCCTTTTTTAACCTTGAAGTGGCTTTTAACCCAAGTGATCTTTTATGCCCATTATTATTCTAACTAATCTTCTTTCTTTATTTATTATCTAAATATAATTATAAAGTACAATTGATGCCTTGCATAGTGTAGTCCACAAAGGATTATGATTACATCATGGGCATTTATTTGTAGAGGTGACAACATTTAAGAGAACATCTTTTGTACTTGAGTGTATGAAAAATGTTATTTTTATCAAAAGATTCATATAATTTTTTTTATTAAAATAATATATCAGTGACATTTTTATAATTAGCATATATCCTGATATTTGTGTCATTTTTTACTTTTTTAGTTGGTAATAAGTTTTTCCAAAAAAAGTGAAGTAGGAGAGGGTTTTTTTTGGAATATAATTTCTCTCATTCACCAATCAATTGAGTAATTTCCTATTTGTTTGTATGTGTAACAAAATAGCAGTTTGAATTCAAGTTTATTTATTTATATTGAATTTAGGCCTCATTTGGAAATATACTATTTTAGTAATCTTTTATCTTTTTACGAAAAGATGTGCAAAAAAATAAATAGAGTGATATGACAATTTATACTAATTTTTAAAATTTTTGACTAAAATATATAATAGACAAACGAGACCTTAATATCCTTAAATGCTTCTACCAAAAGTAATAATATATACTTCATATAATTGACTTATTAAGAAAAAATAAAAATTGACAAAGGCTTAAAAAGTAGAAAAGCAAATAAATTAAGGTTCAAAACAATAGGCAAATTTTATGGGCATAATTACATCGTGAAGTAGAATTAACAAATGGACATACAAGTGGTTCCATTCATGCACCTCTAATGATTTGCATCTTGAACCAAAACATAGAAGGAAAACAATATTTTTCACCCAATGTATTTCATATTCTCACACTAAATTGCATAAGAAATAAAAAGTTATGATAAAGTATTCTGATGATATATATATCAACACTCGACATAAAATACTAAAATGAAAATCTAAATTTTTTCTGTCTTGGATATAGAGAAAGTATTTTATATAATGTGTATGTTATATGATTGAGTTAACGTGATATACTTTTCCATTCATTATTTGTCATTTGATAACAAGTGAGATCGAAATTTGATGTGGCCAATCAGTCAGTACCTCAGACAAAGTATAAATTAACTTTTAAGTCTCATATTTATCATGCAATAAATAATAAGTGAAATGATACCACGTAACGTAAAATACTCTCTCCTTCAATATAACATGCTTGATCAAGAACTTTTGTGATTGTTGTCAAATTGGCATATGCTTATTTCACATCCTAGTCTTCTTCATCAATATGAATCTTGGTATATATATATAGAAACAAATTGACAGCAAAAAGAGCATTAAAAATATATACATGTATATATATATATATATATATTGTGTACTATATCATCTAAAGAAAACCCATTAACTCTTTGTGCCCAATGTCCATCCTTTGCTGGAACATCATGTTATACTGGCCTAGTTGAAACCTACTCTATTTACCCCAAAAAAAAGAAAAGGAAAAGAAACCTACTATATCAGGATAAACTTTTGTGTCCTCTCACGAACTTTTGTGGGAAAAAATACGTAGACTACTTGCTCAATGCTCACACATGCTAGGTTCAAAGTGATGATGTAGGGCTTTAGGTCATTGGTGAACCTTTTGTTTAGTTGTGTTTTTGTTTTTCTAAATTTTTGTTCATTTGTTTTTGTGGTATTTTGAAAAGTGAGTTAAAATTCATTTATCAACTTTTAACCCACTTTTTTTCTTACAAAAAAAGTCAAAAAGTAAAAAAGTCAATTTTTAATTATCTTCTCAAAACACCATTTTATCCAATAAAAGTAATGAGAAGTTCAAAAATACTTCTTGTTTTCATTTTTGTGCAAAAATAAAAAAAACAAAAAAGATTTTGAAAATTCAGAAACAACTTTTTGTAATGTTTTCTAAAAAATGTCCAAAAGCAATGTTTGAAAGCAGTTCTCCAAATTTATTTGGCTGAGCTTTCAAATTTTGTTATCTAGAAAATTTTTAGAAACTAACTTGGTACAAAAAAAAAAATGGCAAAAAAAAAATCAAAATACTCATTATTTCATTTTTTTTTGTTTTCTTTGTTTTATGGGATGAAAAAAAAAAATTTGTTAAAAAATTTAAAAGATAAATTCTAAAAACTTAATCAAGTTATCATCCTATCGCATGATGTAATAGCCTTAATCGAGAAAACAAATTGTTTGGCACTCAATATAGACATTTGAAAGTGAAATAAGTCAAAAAGTAGATTCCACAAGAATTGTCTTATATATCTATTTCACATTTGATCAAAAATAAAAAATAAAAAATAAAAAAAGGATTGTTGTCTTTATATCTATGAAGACTATACAATGTGAATTAAATATTATTGGAAATTATGAATACACTCAGAACAGCATAAAATGGTGGGAGATATTACTCATAAAAAATAAAAAATAAAAAGTTGAAGAATCATGCTTAAATTAATTCATTAGGATGTGGCTAAGAATAAAAAAATGTCAATACAATTTTAATATATTTTTATATAATTTATATATGTATATCAAGACTTATAATCAATCAATTGTTATTAGCCATGCTTAGACACCTACTCGAACTCAATATTTGTATCAAAATTTATGCATTACAATCTGTATATGCATACGTTATTATATTTATTAGCTTTCAAAGATATTTGCCAACAAATTTAATATAGTTGTATGTTTTTATTTATTTATTAGGGCCTTGTTTGAAGCTAAGTTATCTTTTGACTATTAAAGTAAAAAAATGCTAGACTTTGGCTAAGGTGTTTTTATCTGATAATTGTGAATTTTTTTAAAACAAAATTCATCTCTATTTCACAATCACAACTATTAAAAGATTCACATTTTTCAAAAAAATTTATATTTAGTGAATTTTTTAAAATTTTCATTAAACTTTTTTACTTTTCAAGTTGTTCTAAACTTGCCTAAACTTTTTCAATAACAATTTTTTTTTGTTTTTACATTTGCCAAAAGCATCTAATTCTTCTAGTGAAACAATTTTAATCGAAAAAAAAAAACAAAACATTACTAAAAAAAATTGCCGAATATAAACTAAACACACGTCATAAAACATATATATAATTATTTTAAAATTTGTTAATAAATATACTAAGCTAGTAATTAATTAATATTGACCCATAGAAATTAGAATTACAATTAAGTGATGAAATATTGACCCATAGAAATTAGAATTACAATTAAAAACAACTAATAGCTTTATCAAAAAGTCTATTTTTTAACTTTTTAATAAAAAATATATAGAAAAGTAGAGAAAATAAATAAAAAAATAAAGAAAAAATATTGATAAATATTAATTAATATAATATAAATAAATATATGTATAAAAAAAAATATACTTTTTAATCCATGCCAAACAAGCGATAACAAAATAAAAAAAATCCCAATAAAAAGTGAATCAATAATACCATTAATTTACCTAATCCAATCCGTCTACCTCTTTCTCTCTCTCTCTAAAAAACCTTTCCCATTTCTTTTCTCTCTCTCATACAGCCAAAGAAAATGAAAGAAAATCAAAAACCCATCGAGAAAACCACATCTCTCTGTGGGTTTTCTTTCTTCTTCCTTTCATTCTTCAAGAACCCTCAACACTGACTGATAATCACATCCAAAAAGAATCAAACCCATCTCAGAAAAACCCAGAATTTCGTGTTAATTCTCTGTTTGTAGATATATTTTATGAATATGGAATTGGATAGCATTGAATGCGTATCGGATGGTATGGATGAGGATGAGATCCATCACCATCGTCATCCTCAGTTTTCGTCCTCGAAGCCTCACAACAACGTTGTTTCTTCTGCGATTCATCCAACGACGAGTGTCCATGAGCTTCTCGAATGCCCAGTTTGTACCAATTCAATGTACCCTCCAATACACCAGGTTTGTTCTTTGTTCGATTTAGATTGTTGGGTTTGTTTTGCTTTTGTCTCAATCGTTTCACTAATTTATGTTTTGGGTTGTGCCTTTGTGTTTGTTTTGTTTCTTTTGATGTCTTTGGATTGTTGAATTTGATGTGGAAGATTGGATACTTGGGAACCACTCCGAAGATATATTCGATTCAAGCATGTGATTTGCTTGGTTGGGTTTCTATAATTCTATAATTTCTTGGGGTTTCTTGATTCTGTGTTCAAGCTAATTTGGTGCATTAGGGTTTCAAATTTGGTTGTAAATGCTGCAATTTATTTGAGAATTTGTTATGTATTTTGGCATGATGTTCTTCGTGGGATTTTTTTGGTGATTGATTGATGATGTAAGTGGGCTGTATTATGGGGATTGGGTTTTCCCAATTAATTCACAAAATTTCCAAATTTTGGGGGTATTTGGAGGTAAAGGATAATTATTGTGTAATTTTGGAATTGCGTAATTTGAATATAGGATGGGTGGAGATCTGTGTGGTTTCAAGAGTTTTTACTTGAAAGAAGGGTTTTGTGGTGCTCTTAATCCTATTCTTTTTGCTTATATACTAGCTTGGAGTTTGGTTTGAGTTTTGTCGCCAAATTATGATACTATCTTTATTAATGTATCTTGTATGATCAGGAAAACTGGCTTGGGGATATAGAATGGAGAATATGGAAGAACATATTCTATTGGAGAGAGACTATGGCTTCTAAAATTATGTGAATCACTTGTCGCTTAATAAGTATTTGATAGTTATCTGCTGTTCAACATTTTGTATGAGCAAGAAGGAACCAGTAATGCTTATAATTTAATTAATGTTTACTAGCCTTTGAATATAGGACTTATATTGTATCAAAGTATTTATTTGGAGATGTGTGTACACGTGCAAATGATTTCATAAACTGATGTTAACAACACTAGAAGAAAAATGGATTTAGTGAATGTCTGAGAAACTGCATGTCATTAGCTTCATGGATCTCAACTACAGCGGTTGGAATCAGATGTTCACAGTGCTGTCATGGCAAGGATTCTCTTTTTGTTTTCCTACCTCGTCACAAAATCTCATGACTATTGACCAAGAAAGTTAATGTCAATTCAATTAATTGTTTGTATAATGTGTAGTTACGGCGACATAATATCTGGCATTAAAGAGTCAGTTTAAATGTCAACTGAATCATTTGCATTTATAGTTTTGTTTTATTTTATTTTAAATTGTATGAAGTGAAAGGGTTATTTCATGAATGAGAACAATAACTGCTTCATTGTTTGAATGTAAGAGAGTGTGAGTTGGCTATGTCTCTTGTAAGGGGATTTAACGGAAAAGGTTGAGCCAAGATGAGGCGGTGATTTCTTCAATACATGGATGAATTAATCTCATTAAATGTGTGATCTTGGAAACAGAATGCTGGAACATAAACTCAAAATGAATTTTGAAGGTGCATGTCATCTTAAGTTTTGTTTATGAGATAGCAAACTTGGAGTCAGTTAATACTTGTTAAGGCTTTCCTTAAGAAAAATGGTTTTTGAGGAGCTGATAGTAATGGGAGCTTTGGAGCAAGGATTTGAAAATGAAATGTTTTGGCAGCATATTAACATGTAGGACGGTTTTGGGGTTTCCTCTTTTGAAGCATTGTCGGGATAAATACCTTTAGAAAGTTATTTTACTTTGAATAAAGAATGTTCTTTGATATTGGAAGGTAACTCTTGTGCAACCCTTAGGATATCAATAGTCTGTTCTGCATGAGAAAGTTATGTTATCCAATCCCGGTGTTTGATCACGTTACGGTCATGCGCGTCATGTAAAGATGAATAAATTGTTGGCTGAACGGGACAAATACTTGTGGTTTTAGATCTGTTGACAATGACAACTGTGGTGCTGTTATAAATATTATCATAAAACTTGAGTTACATATGTAGACACTTCTACTATTACATATATGCATAGTTCTTCTAAATGTACGAAGTAGTAAGTACCTGTGTTGAACACTGATATTTGGGTAAGGGTTTGGGATATACTTGTACATGTTAGTCATTCACGTTTTTCCATACAACTAAAAAAATATTCCTGAACACATTAATTTACACCTCATAAAAAGCCAAAAGTCACCAAAAAAGCCAAACCCCAAACCACATCTTAATAATTCAAATTCATCATAAAATTGTGCATGTAACCCTCATATTATGTATAAAATACTCTTTGGCACCTTGTAACACAATTTTACCCTAGAAAAAAAAAAAAAGAAGAGAGAAAAGCATATTAAAAGAACCATGAATATTTTTCCTTGTCCTTGCGTCAATGGACATGGGAATTAGATGAATCAAATACTTGGACACATGCTTGCACTTGACATCCAACACTCGTAAACAAGTCCATGTAACATAGGTTGCATCCTAATGAGTGTGTTAAGTTGCATACACATTTAAATAATAATATCAAAAGTTCAACAGTAATAAGATGTGTCTACATGTATGTGTATATACATATTTATTTTAGTTTTTTCGTTAGTATACTATTAAAATTTTTCAGGGTTGCATTTTTTTCCTTAAAAAGCGAATTGACTGGTATTTTAACAAGTCTTTTTGAATTTTGCAGTGTCACAATGGGCACACACTCTGTAGCACCTGTAAAGTAAGGGTACAGAACCGCTGTCCCACCTGTAGACAGGAGCTTGGTGATATAAGGTGTTTAGCATTGGAAAAGGTTGCTGAATCACTCGAACTGCCTTGCAAGTATTGCTCTCTTGGTTGCCCCGAGATATTCCCCTACTACAGCAAGCTCAAACACGAGGCCATTTGTAACTTTAGACCATACAATTGCCCCTATGCTGGATCAGAGTGCTCGGTTGTAGGTGATATTCCATACCTTGTTACCCATCTTCGAGATGATCACAAAGTAGACATGCACTCGGGATGCACATTTAACCATCGCTATGTAAAGTCTAATCCGCGTGAAGTAGAGAATGCCACATGGATGTTAACTGTAAGTATATTTTTTTATTCTGAAATAATCTTTAATGTATGGATATGTATATATATGTCTTGTTTAGAAATGATGTTTCTTGTGATGGATTGATGGTCCTCAATGAGCAAAATGCTAATCTTTCGGATTAATAGGCTCACTCTAAAGATGGGCCTCCTTTTCTTTTTGTTTTTTTTTGTTTTTTTGATACGGTTAGGTTTCTTAACAAATAATTCTTGAAAATTTTGGCCTATGCATTAAATAGGTCATTTTTATTGCTTTACTGTTTCAAGTAATAATATCAATAGTAACACAGAACGATTTTTTTTTTATTAATGATTATTAGGTAAAATTAAACACCTCATTAGAACTGCATGCATCAGGGGATGAGATTCCAAAAAGATAGGAACCTAGAAAATATGTCGAGCAATATACCCCGTAAAATTATGCGTGGTTCAGATTCAATTTTTGTATAGTGGGATCCACACTTGAAATAAATCTCAACCACACAATGTTTTCTGGGTAAATTTTTTGGGTTCCTAGCATTGCTGGACTAGAATAAGATTCACCATTATATATTGTTCTTGAGTTTTTACCATTGGTATCCCCTCTTCTTTTTTTTAATAATAATTTCAAGCCTTTTTTCATATCCCGTCTTTATAAATATATATCAAAAAATGGAAAAATTATGTCGCCATGTTTATCTTGATCTATCTTTCTTTAAGTTGCTGGTAATTGCTGTTCTAGAGCACAAATCATTGAGCATTGATTGAACATCTTCAATTATAGTGTTCCCTAAATATTTGTTATCCGTTCCTTTTTTTAGGTTTTCAATTGTTTTGGTCAGTACTTCTGTCTCCATTTCGAAGCTTTTCAGCTTGGGATGGCTCCGGTTTACATGGCATTTCTACGATTCATGGGCGATGAGACAGACGCCCGAAACTACAGTTACAGCCTCGAGGTTGGAGGAAATGGACGGAAACTCATTTGGGAGGGTACCCCGCGAAGTATAAGGGACAGTCACAGGAAAGTGAGGGACAGCCATGACGGCCTCGTTATACAGCGCAATATGGCGCTTTTCTTCTCTGGTGGGGACAGGAAAGAACTGAAGCTGCGAGTTACGGGGCGGATATGGAAGGAGCAACAGAACCCAGATGGCGGGGCGTGCATACCCAACCTCTGTAGTTAAGGCTGGTCCTCTCTCTCTCTCTCTCTCTCTCTTGTGTGTGCTGAGTTTTCTGCTAATATTATTAGTTGATAGATATGTTGAGAATTCTTGATATGTATGCATGAATACTAGCTGGAAGTTTCAGCTTTTCACACATTGTTTAATAATGGTTCTTTTGTTGTGGTTTTGTGGTCAGAACAGGCTTTGATTTCAAGCTATGCTCCTTGTATAATGCAATTGTAGAGAAGCTTGAATTGCTCAACTCATAAGAGTAAATCTAAGCGCACATATGATTTTCATAGAATGGGATACAGATGAAATGCTAGGTCTCACATATGGTGGATCTCACATGTAGAGCCCACCTTTTGTCTCGTATTTGTATCTTATTCTGTGAAAATTTTCCGTGTTAATAACATAGAAGCCATTGATAATTAATGTAACATCTTTTCTTTACTTTGTTTCTTTCTTTTTTTAGGACAAGCAATGACTTCATTTTATTTTATTTTTTGATTCAAACAAGTAATGACTTCATTGAGTACATTGTGCAATCTTATTTTGATTGGTTTTTGGCCTCTTGTTCTTAAGTTAATTGCCCATTTCATTACTTATCATGTAGATATGGCATTACTTTGTAAGATTTTACTGTGTCAAGCGAGGAAAATTATTCAATACTCTTAAAGTTTCACGGCACGTGATATTTTTGACTAATGAGACTGCATAAAAGAAGATAGATGAGGTTAACTTTATCTCAACTCTTTCCATTATTAGGTTTTTATTGCTTCGAGAGCACTATATTAATATGTTCAAATACTTTGAAAATATTGAATAATTACTCATCAAATAAGTAATAGTATTTATGAAGTTTCTAATGTTGTGTATTCTTCATTATTAGTTTTGGGTGAAAAATTGAAGGTCCATAAAATGTGAATCTAACTAGTTGGATTCTAATAATTCAAGAAAAGAATTATCATGTTCTCACAAAGTAAGTAGATGCAAGTTCAAGAAATATTCTTTTCATAGTGGAAGCGGTTTTTGTTTTATCGAAATTCTTTTTTCATTTTAACAAATTGATTAGTAGTTAAGTGACAAGTATGAATAATAATAATTAACAATATTAGATAGTATTAAACAATTAACAGGGAAAAGGAAATATTTTCTTTCGCTTTTTCTTTTTATCTTACAAATTTAAAATTTAAACAGAGAAGAAAAATCACGTTAAAAATATAATTAAAATTAAAGAATGATTTCATTTCAGGAAGTTCTATAAACATTGTGCAAATATTTCCCATGTCATTAGATTAACACACTACACGTGCATTATTTGACACCAAAGAGTGAGATTCACTGTATTTCATTAGTGAAATTTTTTTTGAAAAAATAACTGCACAGTAATGGGGTGTTTGTTTCAGCTTTTCAGAGTCAACTTATGGTTTTTAGCTTTGAAAAAGTTATTTTGGACTGTTTGGTTAAACTTATTTCAAACAGTTACTGATTCTAACAGCTTATTGTAACTCAAAAAAGCTGATTCTGAGAAGCTGCTCACCCATTGCTTCTGATTATCAGCTTCTGTTGTGGACATGTTAATTTATGGTTATACTCTTAATTTTTTTTATTTTTTATTTTTTTAAAAATAGAAAAAGACTCAAATGGACTATAGATTATTATTATTATTTTTTATGAGAAATGTAGACAAACAAAAAATAAAAATTAATTGAAAAAGCTATTTCACAACTTATTTAACAAACACTACTCAGCAACTTAAATCTATAATCCAATAGCTACACCAAACAGATTAACAACTTCTGATTAAAGTCATAATCTATAATCTGTTAAGCTATAATCTATAAGCTGTTTTAACAGCTACACCAAACGGGGCCAATCTAGAGGAATTTTTTTTTTTGTAAATTAATGAAAAAATTTATACATTTTAATAATTAAAACACTATATATATTTTCATGATTTTGTATTTTTTTACTCATTACTGTGTAATTATTTCTCCATTTTTTTTTTCACTTAAAACTTAAAAATTACTAGATGACTTAAATATTTAAACAACAATAGCCATGAAAAGTGACAATTTAAGTTTTGGGAGACTTATTTATAAATCATTTTCAGACATTTATGCTAGGCTAAGTCTTGTGTAATTTCTTATAGAGTCTCAAGTCCTATTTAGATAGGAATGTATTCTACAAGATTCTACATAAACGTAACGTGACGTGACACTTATATAAACGTAACGTAACGTGACACCTATATAAACGTAACGTAACGTGTCACGTTACGTTTCGTAAACTTAATGAGTTTTTATTTTTTTAAATTGAATGTGAAAATGTTGTTGGTTTATGTTGGTGTCACATTACGTTTCATATAAATATGATCTATTGAATGTTGTTACGTTACGTTTATGTAGATATGATCTATGGTAACATTTAATTTTTTATATAGATCATAGGTGTTATGTTACGTTTATGTAGGTGTCACGTTATGTACATGTGTCACGTTACGTTTATGTAGGTGTCACGTTACGTTACGTTTATATAGATATGATCTATAGAAATATTCAATTTCCTATATATGGTTTTATTATTATTTATAATATTAACAACTAATATTGAGGGTAAATGTGTCAACAAACTTTTCACATGACTTATGGGAACATAAATTTTTTAGTAGGATCATATGTAGCATATAAATAATTTTTCCTTAAGTTTTGATTAAAATAATATTTGTTTTATTAAAAAGGAACTAAAAAAAAAATTAAAAACCTTATATATAAAAAAGTTTTATTTCTAACAATTACTAAATACATTATTATTTTTTAATTCCAAAAAATTTAAAATTTAAAAAAAAAAACAAAAACAAAACAAAATTTCCAAACCCCATCTAAAAAGTTTCTCTTATTTTCTATCCTACCAACCAATCACGCCATGAACTCTCCCTCTCATTACCGAAACGCCGTCCTCCTATGGCAAGACACCTCAAACACTGATAAATTGCCACATAATAGACACAAACCACCGAAAAGGCTTTATCAAAGGTTTTAGCGTTCTCTCTCTCTCTCTCTATGTGACCTCCCTCTTCGTCCATGGAGGCTCTCAATCCCACAATACCAAGCAAACCTCAATTCTTCTCTTCCCTTTCGATTTTCTCTCCCAAATATTCTCTGAGAACATGGAAAAAGAAAAACCTTTACAGGTTCAATATACCCAACTCCAAAATTCCTCTGTACCCACCATTTTCCGCCTCAAAACTTCGAATTTCAGCCCATTTCGGCCGACCCACGAATCGCCGAAACTCGCTGAGAAAAAAGCTCATTGAAGAACAACAACAACAGGTGCGTCATCGTTCTCAAAACCCAGTTCTTGATTATGATAATAGTGAGATTTATTATTCGAATTTGGGTAATGATAGTGTAGAAAAAAGTAAGTTTAGTTCTAATTATGGGGTTAGTGAAGGTAGTGTTGATTCTGATAGTATAGAGGAATTGAAATCAAAAGGTTTGGGTGAATCTGTATTGTGGAATAAATTGGAGAGTTGGGTTGATCAGTATAAGAATGATTCAGAGTTTTGGGGAATTGGGTTTAATCCTATATTCACTGTGTTTCAAGATTCAGGTGGGAATGTTGAGAGGGTGGTTGTTAATGAAGATGAAATCTTGCGAAGAAGCGGAATTGAGATGGAGATGTATAAGAAAAGTGAAATTGAGGACTTGACAGAAGTGAATTCAAAGATTTCTCATGCTAAATTTCTGGCTCGAGAGATGGAGAATGGGAATTGTGTGTTTTCGAAGAGTAGTTCGATAGCTAAGTTCATAGTTTCGGGCAAGCATAGGGGTTTTGATAATGCAATTTGGGGTCTTGCTCTTCGACCCGGATTGTCTTTGAAGCTCCCAAGAATTGGGATCATGGTGTTGTGTGGTTTGTTTGTGTTCTGGGCGATGAAGGCAATTTTCAGTGGTGGGAAAGAGAAAGTGTAACGTGACACCTACATAAACGTAACGTAACGTGTCACGTTACGTTTCGTAAACTTAATGAGTTTTTATTTTTTTAAATTGAATGCGAAAATGTTGTTGGTTTATGTTGGTGTCACATTACGTTTCATATAAATATGATCTATTGAATGTTGCCATAGATTATAGGTATCACGTTACGTTACGTTTATGTAGATATGATCTATGGTAACATTTAATTTTTTATATAGATCATAGGTGTTATGTTACGTTTATGTAGGTGTCACGTTATGTACATGTGTCACGTTACGTTTATGTAGGTGTCACGTTACGTTACGTTTATATAGATATGATCTATAGAAATATTCAATTTCCTATATATGGTTTTACTATTATTTATAATATTAACAACTAATATTGAGGGTAAATGTGTCAACAAACTTTCCACATGACTTATGGTAACATAAATTTTTTAGTAGGATCATATGTAGCATATAAATAATTTTTCCTTAAGTTTTTGATTAAAATAATATTTGTTTTATTAAAAAGTAACTAAAAAAAAATTAAAAACCTTATATATATAAAAGTTTTATTTCTAACAATTACTAAATACATTATTATTTTTTAATTCCAAAAAATTTAAAATTAAAAAAAAAAAACAAAAACAAAACAAAATTTCCAAACCCCATCTAAAAAGTTTCTCTTATTTTCTATCCTACCAACCAATCACGCCATGAACTCTCCCTCTCATTACCGAAACGCCGTCCTCCTATGGCAAGACACCTCAAACACTGATAAATTGCCACATAATAGACACAAACCACCGAAAAGGCTTTATCAAAGGTTTTAGCGTTCTCTCTCTCTCTCTCTCTCTCTCTATGTGACCTCCCTCTTCGTCCATGGAGGCTCTCAATCCCACAATACCAAGCAAACCTCAATTCTTCTCTTCCCTTTCGATTTTCTCTCCCAAATATTCTCTGAGAACATGGAAAAAGAAAAACCTTTACAGGTTCAATATACCCAACTCCAAAATTCCTCTGTACCCACCATTTTCCGCCTCAAAACTTCGAATTTCAGCCCATTTCGGCCGACCCACGAATCGCCGAAACTCGCTGAGAAAAAAGCTCATTGAAGAACAACAACAACAGGTGCGTCATCGTTCTCAAAACCCAGTTCTTGATTATGATAATAGTGAGATTTATTATTCGAATTTGGGTAATGATAGTGTAGAAAAAAGTAAGTTTAGTTCTAATTATGGGGTTAGTGAAGGTAGTGTTGATTCTGATAGTATAGAGGAATTGAAATCAAAAGGTTTGGGTGAATCTGTATTGTGGAATAAATTGGAGAGTTGGGTTGATCAGTATAAGAATGATTCAGAGTTTTGGGGAATTGGGTTTAATCCTATATTCACTGTGTTTCAAGATTCAGGTGGGAATGTTGAGAGGGTGGTTGTTAATGAAGATGAAATCTTGCGAAGAAGCGGAATTGAGATGGAGATGTATAAGAAAAGTGAAATTGAGGACTTGACAGAAGTGAATTCAAAGATTTCTCATGCTAAATTTCTGGCTCGAGAGATGGAGAATGGGAATTGTGTGTTTTCGAAGAGTAGTTCGATAGCTAAGTTCATAGTTTCGGGCAAGCATAGGGGTTTTGATAATGCAATTTGGGGTCTTGCTCTTCGACCCGGATTGTCTTTGAAGCTCCCAAGAATTGGGATCATGGTGTTGTGTGGTTTGTTTGTGTTCTGGGCGATGAAGGCAATTTTCAGTGGTGGGAAAGAGAAAGTAGAATACACGAGGTTGGAGAAGGAAATTATGAGGAGAAAGATGAAAGCAAGAAAGGAGAAAGACAAGTTGGTGACGGGTAGCGTGGAAGTTATTCAGGATCCAATGGAGCCACAGATTGAAAGGCCAAGGCTTAATGAGCAGGATCTTATGAATAGCATTACGAAAGTGAAAGCATCAAGTAATAATACACTGGCACTACATGAATCTTCTAGTGATCGGGCGGTGTCTAAGGATTTAGATAGTAAAATTCAGGAAATTAGAGCAATGGCAAGGCAAGCACGAGAGATTGAGAGAAGAGATCCTTCACCAAGTGATACTGATGGAGGAGATGATTTAACTGTGAATGAGCTGACTGATGAAAAAGAAGTGGTTAAACAGCATGGAGTAGTTGTGATTCTCCCAAATGATCTTTCTATTGAATATTCAGGTCAAATAAGAGGCGTTAATGGAACCTCAACGCCCATGTCTTTCAATGATGTGGAAAACAATGATACTGAATTCAGTGAGGAAGTTTTGGTAGAGAACATTGACACCCAAACATCTAGTACTTCAAGCATGAAAGTTTCCAATGATGGTGAAAGCACTACACGTGAAGGAGTTGTGAGTCTCCCAAATGGTCTTTCTAATGAAGATTCAGACCAAGTAGAAGGTGATGATGGAACCTTAACGCCCAAGTTCAATGATCTGAAAAACAATGATGCTAGATTCGGTGAGGAAGTTTTGCTGGAGAACAGTGGTACGCAAACGGCTAGTACTTCAATCATGAAAGTTTCCAATGATGGTGAAAGCACAATACAAGATGTGATCAATAGAGAAAGTGCTGTAAACATATCAGACACAACTAATGTGAGCCAATCCTCTAACACATTTGAAAGTCACTCAAGAAAACTAAAGAGAAGTTTCGGAACAAAACCAAGGGTTATACGCTCAGTTAAGGAAGCTAGGGAATTCCTCTCTCAAAAACGTAACAAACAAGAGCCTAATCAAGAATATCAAGAGAAAACCGTGCCAGAAGGTGCTGCAATTTTAAGTATTGAAAGGGAAAAAGATACCAATAGCAATGGGAGGAAGGGAATAGATAAGGACAATGAAGTGTCTGGCACGACCATTTTAGATGGGACGCCAGATTTTGCACCTGCAATAAATGCTGGTAAAGATTCTGCCCTGAAGAGAAAGGAATCTGTTCCGGCTGAAAAAAGTGGTCCTCAAGCTGCTGATGAAGGATGCAAGGAAGGGCCGTCTGTTTTAGCGTTAATCAAGGGAAAAGAGAAATGGGATAGTAACACAAGCCTGGGATTGGACAAGGACAACAAAATCTTCCAATCAACCATTTTACGTGGACCGTCAAATTCTGCATCTGCTGCAAGTGCTTTTGGAGATTCTACTCGAAAAATAATGGATGGTGATCCTGAAGATGTTGAGGGAGGATATCGAGTGGACGATCTACAAAAGCCACCAACTTCCTCAGTTAATGAAAGTAACAGCAGAAGTTCAGAGAAAATATCATCAGTGAATAAGGAGAGCTGGATGGAGAAAAATTTTCACCAATTGGAGCCTGTAGTGAAGAAGATTGAAGGTGGATTTAGAGATAATTACATGGTTGCGAGGGAAAAAGTTAAACAAGAGTTGGATACAAATTTCGAGATGATACAGTCCAAATTTGATGAAGATGACGCTGAACTTGACTGGATGAAAGATGATAGGCTTAGAGAAATTGTATTTCAAGTCCGAGAAAATGAGTTAGCGGGGCGTGATCCATTTTACCTGATGGATGATGAAGATAAACTCGGGTTCTTCAAGGGCCTTGAGAGAAAAGTTGAGAAAGAGAATGAAAAACTATCCAGTTTGCATGAATATCTCCATTCAAACATTGAAAACCTTGACTATGGTGCAGGTAATTAATTTTTCTTATGTTTTCTTTTGGTTAACTATTTATCTCCTGAAACAGTGGAAAAAATTCGAAAATTGAATTTTATAAAAATGTTAACGGCCATGTATATAGTTGCCACCACTATACTGATATTTCTCTGGTTTAACCACATCTGGTCTATTACATTTTCCCATGTTTTAATTATCATTTTCTTTGAAAAACCACAAAACTAGATTTTCTCAAATGATATTTATAAAAAATTACTGTTCAGTTAACCATTAGGTTCACATTATTAATTGGGTAAATTTTACTTTTCACCCTAACTTTTATCTGAATTTCATTTTGGGCCTTCACTTTCTAATTGTAACAATTAAGTCCTCAAAGTTCAACTTGTGTTTCAATTTGGTCCATATGTTACCCAGCCATTTAAAATTTGCATGAAAGTTGAAACATGAGGAACCAAGGTTTTGAAAAATGGTTGCAGTCGCCGTAACGGTGGCGGTGACGCGGTTGCGGTTGCGGTTGCAGGGTGTAAAGGCCGTAGTGTAACGGTTGCGGTAACCAGAACTGTGAATTTTTTTATTTTTCGCACAATTTGAAAAAAAACTTACCGATACGCATATTTTTTTTCCATGATCATATTTATTGGGTTAAAAATAAATATTGATCAATTTTTGTAAATTTTTAAGTATGATCAAATATATTTCATATTTTTAAATCATTATAAACTGAGTTTTTTACATTTTATTTTAATAATTAATAACTTTATATTATACAAAAAATCAATCACTAACTATTATATATAAGATAAACAATGACAAAAGTAAGAGAATAAATAAGAACCTAAATATATATATATATACATACATATTTTAACCAAACTAAATAGATAATGACCACACTTATTATTATTATTATTATTTTCAAACAATATATAGATAGACACACACAAACAAAATGATTTAAAACACAAGTTGAAGTATGAGGACTTAATCGTTGCAATTAGAAGATGAGAGACTAAAGTGAAATTCTGGTAGAAGTTGGAGGGTGAATAGTGTAAGTTACCCTTTTTAATTTTAAAAACCATGGTCTAATTGAGTTTTTATTGCCTGTAGATGGTATTAGCATGTATGATCCACCGGAAAAAATTATACCCCGCTGGAAAGGTCCCCCACTCGATAGAAAACCCGAGTTTCTCAATAACTTTGCTGAACAAAGGGCAACACTTAGTGCTAGAAATTTTAGTAATTCAGACATTGAGAGGAAGGATGGGCAGAACTTCCCTCAGAAATCTAAAGAACCTCCAGCCAATGAAAATGTTCAGCTGACCTCAGCAGTAAATAATCAGAATACAAAAATTCTTGAAGGGAATTCAAGGAGTCCCAAGACAGTTATAGAAGGCAGCGATGGTTCTGTTAGAGCCGGCAAAAAATCAGGAAAAGAGTACTGGCAGCACACTAAGAAATGGTCTCGTGGGTTTTTGGAATCTTATAATGCAGAGGCGGACCCAGAAACTAAAGCTATCATGAAGGATATTGGGAAGGATTTGGATCGATGGATCACTGAGAAGGAAATAGAGGAAGCAGCTGATCTGATGGATAAAATATCTGAGAGAGGACGGAAATTCATTGACAAGAAACTTAACAAGGTCAAAAGAGAAATGGAACTGTTTGGACCACAAGCTGTCATGAGCAAATACCGGGAATATGCTGAAGAGAAGGAAGAAGATTATTTGTGGTGGCTAGATCTTCCCTTTGTACTGGTAAATTTGTATCTTGTCTTCTCTACTATGTTAATCCAATTCTTCCTATAAGCTAATGCTAGATAGTCCCATGTGCTTTAAGCTGCATCCTTTGGCTCATATTTCTTTGATAATATTTTGTTGGTACTGGTCCTCTTCATATAGAACTTTTTTGTTTTTCTCCAATGACAGTAGGAACACAAGAATCAAATACATAACAGGAATCGGTAAACATATGGGTAGACAAGATTTTACAATATTTATTGGTGGGGGCCCACTTCTCAAAAATCCTATCCATCCATCTATTTTCTGTGTTTGATTCTGTGTTCCTGGACTTACTGAACTTGTTTTTATGGAAAAATTGGTTTGTCTGTTTACACCAAATTTATATACACTCATGTTTTGATTTGTTTTTTTTTTTTTTTAAATGTATTGTATATCTGTTGAAAATACTAGTGAATGCGATCGTCATATTTTTAGTATGGGTTCTGTAACTTGGCAATTAATGATATGTTTTCCATTTATACAAAGAATGCTGAGTTATTCATTTCTCTATTTTTACATTTTCCAGTGTATCGAATTATACACACATGAAAATGGGGAACAAAAAGTAGGATTTTATTCATTAGAGATGGCAGAAGATCTTGAATTGGATCCAAAGCAGTATCATGTGATTGCTTTTGAGGACCCTGGTGATTGCAAGAACCTTTGCTATATTATGCAGGCTCATATGGAGATGATTGGAAATGGCAATGCATTTGTTGTTGCGCGACCACCTAAGGTAATAAGTTGTTTCTCTCTAATGCTATTTTCACATACTTCGTGTTTTGAGTAGTTGTAAGAACAAGATTTCTAAGGCAAAAAATGGCCAGATTTTTTATCAAATAATAAGTATTTGTCTCTGTAACTCTTCCAATAATTTTGTGGCTGTCCTACTTATCAAAAAAAAATAATAATAATAATTTTGTGGCTGTCCAAAAGTACATTTTTTTTTTTGGTCATTTGTTCTTTTTCCTTTTACCTTAATAGTTTCGTGCACTTATGATATCAAGGTGGTGCTTGGTTCACTGGAATGAAGATAGAATGGAATGGACTAGTCATTCTTAGCCTTTTTATGGAATGATCCTTTCAATGGTGAATGATGATTGCATTTGTAGTGCGTTTTCTATCATATTTTTAGTGAACCCAACATGAGAATGGACATCCTAATAAAATGATCATTTCATTCCAGTGAATTAAGTTAAATACTACCTAAGGACTATTGTTATTGCTTTCTGTTGGGTCACCCCAAGGTCAAACTGCTGTCTTTGGTGTGTTGGATTTCTTTTTTCTTTTGCATATATATATAGATAGTTGAAATCTGCAAATATCTTTCTTCTTGAGATCTCTCTTTTGAACTCTTGCTCTCTGTAGGATGCTTTTCGGGAAGCCAAAGCAAATGGACTTAGTGTGACAGTCATCAGGAAAGGAGTGCTGCAGTTGAATGTGGACCAAACACTGGAAGAAGTTGAGGAACAGATTACTGAGATTGGGACAAAGATATACCATGATAAAATCATGCGTGAACAGTCTGTGGATATAAGTGCATTAACGAAAGGTGTATTTGGTGCCATGAAACCCAGTAAAAGGTATCTTTTGAACTGTGACTAAGATCTGCAAAATTCAGCCATGGAAAATGTTGTTGGTACTCAATATTTTTCTTACACTGATGAAAAGAACAAATGTTTATGAAGTATTCTATATGCTAGCTGGATTGTTGTGGCAAAGTAAACACCTTTTGTTTTATCATTTTTGTTTTTCAGGAGAAGGTCAAGGCGGAAACTGAAAAAGCATACGAAGTAAAGGTTAGAGTCATTAATTAACTTCTATCACAGGTATCCTTCCTTATAAACTCTAAATATTCAGGAGGACCTTGCACTTCTTTTTGGTTGAGTGCCTGTATATATACTTCTTTAGAATAGGAGCGTGGTACATATTTGAGTTGAGTTGAGTTGAGTTGAGTTGAGTTGAGTTGGTTTATGGGTAATTAAGCCATTGTTGGCCCTGTTTGGTGCAGTCTAATGGAGTTGCTTATAGTAGCTGCTGCTTCTTTTTTTTTTTCTCTCTTTTTTTGAGAGGCTATGCCTGAGTTTTTGGTGCAACTTTTAGTTATAGCTTATGAGGTAAAAATAGCTTAAATAAGTTAGAAAAAACTGATTATCTAAAAGATGGGGGAGAGATGTTTATGTTTTTTTATCATCAACATTCAGCTCAAGAAAAGCTTCACCAAAGAGGCTCAGTATCGTGAATGACTGGAATGGATATCTCTACATTGTAAATGGTAACAATAATCAGATTATTCATCGTTTAAGCAACCGTGTATGTATCCTATCCAAGTCATGAACTGCGCTGAATAGTATGTGTTTGGTAACGTTTACGTTTTCAGTTTATATTTACCAAAATTTTATAAACTGATTTTTGTTTATTTTTAGAAAAACATTAACTACAAACGCGTTTGGTAATTGACAAAATGTTTAAAAATTTTTAAAAATATAAAAAAGAGTGAGAAATGGCAAGTGGTGACAAGTGGCGGCGGCAGACGGTGGTGGAAAGTGGTGACGGTGGGTGGGTGGGTGACGATGGCGGGTGGTGGGTAGTAGCGAGTGGGTGGTGGATGGTGGTGGCAGATGGGTGGTGGTGGGTAGTGACGGGTGGGTGGTGGTGGTAGGTAGGTGGCGGGTGGGTGAGTGACGGTGGCGGGTGGTAGCGAGTGGGTGGTGGCGGGTGGCAGTGGCAGGTGGGTGGCGGATGGCGGGTGAGTGGGTGACGGTGGCGGGTGGTAGCAAGTGGGCGGTGGGTGGTTAAAACACGACCAACTAATTCCCAACTTGCCCAACACAACCCAAAACTCTAACACAAAACGTAAGGGATAGAAATGAAGATAAGACAACAACGAATCTACGGAACTGAGTCCAGATTATAGTTATACAACAACATAGTGATGGCGGTGGCGGTGGCGGGTGGTGGCAGGTGGGTAGTGGGTGATGGTGGTGGCGGGTGGGTAGTAGGTGGTGGTGGTGGTGGTGGTGATGGCTGGTGAGTGGTGGTGGCAAGTGGCTGGTGAGTGGTAGTGGTGGCGGAGTGGTGGGTGGTGGCGGGTGGGTGGTGGTGATGGGTGGTGGGTGGTGGCTGGTGGATGGTGGTGGCGGGTGGTGGCTGGTAGTAGCAGGTGGGTGGTGAGTGGTGGTGGCAGGTGGTGGTAGAGGGTGGGTGGTGGGTGGTGGCGGCGGAAGACGGTAGTAGAAAATGATGGCGGGTGGTAGCTAGTGTTGGGTGGAAAAAAAAAAAAACTCAAAACTCAAAACGAAAACACATTTTTTGTGTTTTCATTTTTTGGCCAAATTTATAAGATGAGACCACTGATTTATAAATCAAAATTTTTACCAAACAAGTTTTTATTCGAGTTTTTAAAATTTTTGTAAATATAAACAGAAAATTGAAAACGTAAATGTTACAAAACGGCATCTAAAAGAATGATTTGTGTAGTATACACAATATAGTTGAAATATAGGGCTCTGATTGATTGATTTAGCTGACATATTGATGAAAGGATCCTCAAGCATCAAAGGATAAGTCACGAAACAAATGTCTATATTGTTTCAACTATTATTTATTTAAAATTATAATCATATATTTTTCGGGAACTAGAGCCAGTTCTCCCTACAGGTGATGCTTGCTTCCCATACTCCAGACAAGAAGGAACAAAAGCTAGTCATCCAAAGATCTTCATAGAAAACCTTGACGGACTCCCTGTTTGCACTTCTAAGTTGAAGTCGAGCACGTTTTCTTGATCTCATGGCAGGATGCAGAGGTGGCAGTCCCGACTCTTGAGCCAAACCATCATCCAAGCTCTCTTCAGCTCTAGCCTGTTCTGTTATTTCTGGTACCGGGTTCTGCCAATACCGTGCATACGATGTTGATCAAACTAAATCATGTGGATCTCTAAGCTCGACATTGGAACATCTTCTGTAATTTCAAAATATTTTCAGTCTGTGTACCAATCCCTACTGCCCTTAAAAAATTTATTTCTGCTCGTTCTCTCCCATGTATGGATGCTAAGAGGCGGGTTTTGATTAATGGGTTGATCAAACCATAAATTTTATTGCATATCTCAAAATCGCCTCTCTCCAGTGATCTCCTTCCACCCATGACTAACCATTGATTTGCAGCTTGTGGCCTGTGGTAGAACCTGTATCTGCCGCTGTAGATGAAGCAAATTTGGAGATGAGCATAGCAATCTGGAAAATACTTCTATACTCCCTAAATTTTGTTGCCAATTTTTAAGGGGTGTTTGTGTAATTAATCCTAACATGAATTTTCCGATCTAGAGTATGGAATTTGAGTGGAAGACACACTCTCTGATTCCCCCCCCCCCCCCCCCCTCTCTCTCATGAACTATATTTTAGGGGGTGCTTGGTTCAAAAGTCCAAATTCAATTTATTTTTTATTTTTTGTTTAAAGGTCCAGGCGCAAAGTTATTATTGTGTCCATAAGGACAGACTGATGCACAATGACCAAAGTACCTTTATATATATATATATATATGGTATCCACGGTGAAACACAAAACAAAGCTTTCTCTCTCTCTCCTCTCGTGTCTCTGTTTTACGGCCCCGTCGTTGTCATCGTTGCCGTCATGATCTTCATCTTGTACCAAATGTTCTCTCTCTCTCTCTCCCCACATTGTGTTTCTCTCTCTTTTTTTCTCTCTCTCGAGTTCATGACTAATGATTGGTGTTGGCGGAGAGCGGTGAAGCCGAGCTGGGTGAGTCATACTCCGTCGTGTGCTACTGCTGAAGAAGTCAATCATAAGGGAAGCGATACTCTTAGATCTTGGCATAGTGATAGTGATCCCGGTGTGCACCGTCATCGGAATCGTGTTCTCCTTATTCTAGTCGGTGCTCGTCTCCAAAGTCAAGCTCTTCCTGGAAAAACTCTCTTTGGCGGCCGCAACGGTGAATAACAAGAACGAAGGCTCCACCGAGTCGTTGATTAAGAAAGAGAAACTTCTCAATGACCACAACATCGTTCAGAAATGTGCTGAAATTCATAACAGTATCTCTGAAGATAAGGTTTCTTACTCAACTTTGAGTAGGTCTTGTGAATTTGGTTGTCTCTAGTTGTTGTATGGTGATTTTGGTGATTTGCTTGTCTCTAAGTTTCTCACACAATTTTCATTTTTTCTGCATAAAATATTTCGTCTGCAAGGAAGTTGGGGGAATCGATGTAGTTGCTTTCATAGTTGGAGTTGCCGGTGGTTTCTAGATCTGGATTTGGCTTCTTTTTCTTCTTTGATCTGTTTACATCTTTTTTTGTTTTTTGGTTATCCGTTCAGGTCTGGTGTTGAGTTGAGCCCTGCACAGTTAATGTAGATGAGTTGTTTTTTGTAATAGTTTCAACAGATAGGAATTGATTGCGATTTTGTTCTGTAGTTTGTTGTTGCAACTAAAAATTATATAGATAAAACATACACGACATGTTCTCTCTTTCACGAACTTTTTTTCAGTCGGCAGTTTTGACCAAGATCAGTTCAAAAACATGTTTCTGGTAGAAGGTATGGTAGACCAATTGAACAGATACAATATTTTGGGATAAAAAATTGAACAAATAATTATTTTGAAAAGAAATTCAACAAAAAAAATTTGAATAGATAAAAAAATTAACATATAAAAAATTTGAACAGATAGATTAGGTTTTTGTATTTTTTTTAAATAGATAGAGTGAAATTCACATATTTTAAACAAGTAGAGAAAAACTCACAGAAAAATTGAACAGATAGGAAAAAAAATTCAACAGATATATATAAATTTGTACATATAGGGAAAAAGTTAAATATATAGAAAATAATTTGAACATATAGATATAAATTTGAATAAATAGTTAAAAAAAGTCAACAGATAAATTAGGAGGTAAAATTTGAATCAAAATGTTCTTTAAAACTAACAAAAAGACTTCCCACCAAATTGTTTCACAAATGGTGGATCTTTCACAAATAAAAAATATTTACTGGATCTAATGCCTTATACTCTCCTTAAATTGGATTTATCACCAATTTACTCTATTTTAGAGAAAATAAGAAATAAGTTTTTCAGGGCTTTATCTCACTTTGTTTGGTTTTAGCTTTCAGAATTCAATTTTTAGAAAATTCTACATTTTCATTTTCCTTATTTTTTTTTGTTATCATGGAATTTTTTTAACCTCCGGTGAGGTTTTTGACAAATACAGGGATCTCTCTTGTAGTTTCAATAATTACAGTAACCTCATTTAATTTATCTAACATTTTTTAGATTCTCCCGTTTTTTTACTTTCGTTTACTTGATTTACAAAACCTGCTGATGTCATCAAAGTCACACACTAAAATGTCCATAACGCCCTCAAATGTCCTCAACCTATCTATATATACCAATACCAAATGTTGGTCAGTAACAGTGCCTTTTTGTATGTGTATGTGTATGTGAAGAGGGGCAATTGCAACCTTTTATTTAAAAACACAACAACAGGTAGGTTGTCCACAACTATTAAAATTTATTCTTATTTATTTATTTTATAATATTACTCTAATCAAAATTTCAATTTATGGTGAAGTGGCCACCTCAACCTGAAAACAACTTGAACTCACAATTTCAAAAACTACAACTGCAGTTTGTCAAATAATTTCAGAACTGCAGAATTTTTCTATGTTGTTTTCAGAAAATAATATTCCACCAAATCACTCAATGAAAAATAAATGTCTGGACTTTCTTGAAACTATTTACACACAAGCATTGTCTTCCCAAGTTAAATAGTGTAAAATCCTGCCAAACTATAATCTTGTGTGTATATGTATATACATATAGACAAGACAATTTTTTAGCAAAATTATGACAACACAAAAAAATCCCTATCGAACAGACGGAAAAAAAAAAAATTTAACACTTAACCTAATTTTTATTTTTTATTAGAAGTTAGGTTCAATACGCATTAGTGAGCTTATTACGATAGATCCTACGAATGAAACACAAATTCTCAAGGCAGTGAAGCAGCAGCCGGTGGCGGGAGGAGTACTCCTGACTCGAGAATTCAGTGAACTCAAAGGGGTAAATTTATTTAATTTTTATTATATAATGTCATTAAATACTATTTACAAAAAAATTTCACTGTTTTTTTTTTCTTTTCTTTTATTATTATATACAGGGCATTTATGAAGGGTCCGAAAATTATCTGAGATGCAAGAAAGGGAAGATTGGTAAGCATGCCGTCCTCATTGTAGGATTTGGCTATGACGAGAAATACGAGAAGTTTTACTGGATAATCAAGAATTCTTATGGGAGAGGATGGGGGGTGAATGGATACGGACGAATAGCCCGTAAAAGTGGTCTACCCAACAAAAAACCCCTAATTTTTGCAACTTGTTATCTAGTTTTTTGAATAAGAAATTGAAGTCAAACTGTTACTCTTGATGAATATGGATGGGGTCTTTATGATATTGTTGAATTGAGTTATATACTAATACCATACTAGTGATAATATGTTTGATTAAATTATAACCAAATGTCCGAAAATGACAACTAAAAGTACATACACTACAAGAAATTATATTTTTGGCGACTAAACTTTTTGTTGCCAAAAGTCAAATTTTTAGTTGCTAAAAAGTTTTCCCGACTGAATAGTTTGGTCGCCGGCTTGGTTGAAAGAAGATTGTTGGGAAAAGTATTGGCAACTAAAACATTTTTAGCCGCCGAAAGTCCTAAATTGGCGACTAAATAATTAGTCGCTAAAAGGAAAGGTATTGGCAACTAATTTTTTTTAGTCGCTAAAAGTCAACAATTGACGACTAAATTTTTAGTCGCCAAAGTTTTCAACAAATGTGCTTTTTTGTTTTAGCGACTGAAATATTTAGTCACTAAAAATGTGACATACCTTTTTGGCTACCAATTTTTTAGTTGCTAAAATCATAGTGCTCCTTTTTAGCTACTAATTTTTTAGTCGCCAAAAACTTTCATTTTTTTTGACTACTAACTGTTTAGTCGCCAACAAATTCCCTTTATATTTTTTGGCTACTAAATGTTTAATCGGCAAAAGCTCTATTTATTAATTTTTTTAAAATGTACAAATTGAATATTTTTTTTTATTAATTTCTAAATTGTATGCATTCCATTATCAATGCAACCTGTAACCTGTACATACACAAAATAATATATCTATCAATTATAATCTAAATCCATTATCAAAAATACACATTTCATTATCAACTATCCAAAAACTTTAACTTGTAACATCATATTCCAAATATCATATAAATCCATACTAACCAAGTATAATTCATCTAAATTAAATATTAAATATAAAAACACTGGATTTCCAAAACAAAGGATTGTACAAAAATAAATGTCTTCCATATACAGAATACAGAACAAATGCTCTTTGTACACAAAATCCACAATAGCCCATGCAAAAGCAACCTGTATAAAATATAAAATAAAAAACCATTAGCACTTATTCAATAAAATTGACATTTCAAATTATAACAATTATAAAATTAATAATTCTGATATATTATACTCTGCAAATTATAACAATTATGACAATTTAGTAACTGACAATTATAACAATTATGACATTTCAGGATAGCGTCACTTATAAAACAATTTAATAAATTAGGACAACATTGGAGTAGTTTAATAATTATTAGAATGTTACCATTCACAATGAAAATCATGCAACTGATGACAATTTAAGGAAATAGATCATATTTCCCATGTCCCAAGCAAAACCCTTCCACCTGGAAAAAGATCGTGTTGTGTTACTAAGTTTCTGTCTGCTATCATGAACAACCCAAAAATTATTAGGGAGTCAATTTCCACCCAACAAATAGAACAGATACAACTCAATTCTAGTTTAGTGAAACAAAAATATCAACTTATTTGTATTTCTGGGCTTTGTCATGTGCTGTGACCTACACAAATTCAACACCAGCATGGAATAGTAAAGAATTTGTCCACGGCAGCTGCAAAATATATCTTACACGGTACGAATTTAGATCCAAAATCAAACAAATTCTTAATTCCTTTAATTTTTGTTTTTAAACCTAACTCAATTTCTTCATCTTCTTTCTAATTTACCAATATG